AAGGCCTTTGATTCTGTTGAGACGGAAGCGGTCATTGAAGCCCTAGCCAATCAGGGCATACAAGCCCAATACATCAGGATCCTCCGTGAGCTGTATTGCGGATTCACTACCAGGATCTCACCATTCTACAAAGAAGTGATCGTTGATGTCAAGAGAGGGGTGCGGCAGGGTGATACCATTTCTCCAAAACTCTTCAGTGCCACCCTCGAGAACATCATGCGACGACTGGAATGGGAAGGAATGGGAGTGAAGATAGATGGTCGGCAACTACACCACCTCCGCTTTGCTGATGACATTGTTTTAATAACACCAAACATCAGCCAAGCGGCACAAATGCTGGCCGACTTTGACCGTGAGTGTGGAAAGGTAGGACTACAGCTGAATCTTACGAAGACAATGTTTATGAGAAACAGCCTTGTTCCTGACGCCCCATTCGCTCTCAATGGAACGACCATCTCCGAATGCAACAGCTATGTGTACCTAGGTCGAGAGGTCAACATGACAAATGACCTGGCACCCGAGCTGCGCAGGAGGAAGAGAGCGGCTTGGAACGCCTTCAAGAACGTCGAAGAAATAGCTAAGAGGACGAAGAACCTCCGGCTCCGGGCACATCTCTTTGATTCCACTGTTCTTCCTGCATTAACATATGCCTCAGAGACCTGGGCCCTACGCAAACAAGATGAGAACGCCATTCAGGTCTCCCAAAGAAGAATAGAAAGAGCTATGCTTGGAATATCACGTTTCACTCAAATGAGAGAACGAATCCGGAGTTCTGACATCCGTCGACGATCAAGGATCAGGGACGCTGTCTCATTTGCCAAGGTGTCGAAAATCAGATGGGCTGGTCACGTAATGAGATTTAAAGACGACCGTTGGACTAGAGCTGTTACTGATTGGATTCCACGGGATGTCAAGAGACCGCGTGGCCGCCCACCTACCAGATGATCAGACTTCTTTGTCAAGGTCATGAACGATCGGTTTGAGGCCCTCCATGTTCCCGGAGCGAAGAGATGCCATTGGGCTACACTAGCACGCGACAGGGACAAATGGAGACGTTACTGGCGCCCGCTCGAGCAAATCGACGACTAACGGGAAGTTAAGTGATTTAAGTGATTAAGTGATTCTTCTCTTGTTATCTTCTTTTCCTTCTTTCTTCTTTCTCTCCTTTCTTCTTCCTTCTCTTCCTTCTCTTCCTCCTCTTCTTCTCCTTCCTTCTTCCTTCTTCTTCCTCCTTTCTCCTCCCCCTCCTCCCCTTCTCCTCCTCCTTCTCCTCCTCCTCCTCTTCTTCTTCTTCTTCTTCTTCTTCTTCTTCTTCTTCTTCTTCTTCTTCTTCTTCTTCCTCCTCCTCCTCCTCCTTTTTCTTCCTTCTCCTCCTCTTCCTCCTCTTCTCTTCTTCTTCCTCCTTCTCCACACCTAGCTATGCTCAGGGATCATCATTAGTTGTTTTCATATAGAACCATGTGCAGTATTGAAGATGGGACCCAGGAGGGCCGATGCAAGGCAAATGCCCGATGCAAGGCAAGCACCCTACCTGCTATACTATCTCTCTGGTCCCCTTATCAGTGTCTCAACATCTCTCACCTGGCTCTGCTCCTGCCTCCGACTCTTAATCCAGAAAAGTCATCAGGCACAGCCCTCCATCCTTTCCAGCCTGAGCTGGAATCTAGCAGGGGTCAAAGCTCGCCCCAGCTGGCCTGGCCTCTAGCTTCAAATGGAGCCAAGACATGCAAGCGTCTGCAGCACATGAGGCTGGAACACAGAGTTCTGCATGCCTCCTCTCTCGGCCAAGCATCCCCATCCCCAACAAGCCATGTCAGTCCCACTCCATGACAGGGTTTGGTGGGGCTTTTCGCCTGAATGACAGCTCTGCCAGCCTCTCAGAATGCACCTCCCCCCCCCGCCCATCATCACCACCTTTCCCCCCACTCCGCCCCCCACCACCAATTCCAGGTTCCTGGGCTCACAGAGCAGCCAGGGTAAGATTTGGAGCAACTTCCTCTGTGTCAGAGGAAAATCCAGCTCCTTCCTAGAGCCCAAGAGACCCATGGGGGGCTGCCCACCTCTCAGCCTGGCCTTCTCCTCCCTCTCTCTCCTGCAATGTGCCCACTTCAGGCTTTCTTCCGCTTCTCAGATGAAGCAGCAGGCACCAGGGCACAGGCCTGCTGCTCCTGGGCTCTCTGAGTGGCCCATGCCCTCCTTCTGCAGTGAAGGGTTCTCAGCAGGGTGTAGGAGGCCCAGGAGTCAGAGTGATTCTTGGCGGACTGAACCGGCAGTTCAATGTGAAAAGGACCAAGGGTGAGGTGCTGCTGGGGCCTGGCGCTACAGGGCCACCCCAGCAGGGCTTAGGGGCCACCAGGGTCACACCCAGGGATACCTGAGGGAGCCCATGGTGTGGAGTAGGAGCCAGGGCTGGGTGCAGGCAGACACGTGCTGACCTAATCCTGAGACTTCCTCCCTGCCTCCCTCGCCCTCCTTTTCAGCTCCAAGGCCTTCTTGTCTCTGGGGTCCCCACCGCCGCCATTCCCAGTTCCGAGGCACTGACCTGCAGCTTCCTTGCCCTTCCGTGATAGAGGGACTATGAGTGAGACAAGCACGTGGAAAGCGTGGCCCAGCTTGGAATGGCTCGTCCACCTGGCCCTCATCTGATCACCGTGCACAAGCATCGCATCAGCCCTCCGGCTTGGATCTCCGTCCTGGGATTGCTGCTCCAAGTTCTGGACGTGTCCTTCTGACCACAGGAGGCCCCAGGGACCCCCAACCTTAGCTGAGCTTTCAGGCCTCAGGTCAGGGTCCAGCAGAACACAGTAGATCTCTGGGAAGAGCCTCTCAGCCAGCAAGGAGAAGGGCCCATTCTGGCTACCCAGAGCAGCTGGGGTGGAGGAGGACGTGGGGGGGAGGGGGCTTCCCTGCTGTGTGACTTTGGCATGTCCCTGCCCCTTTACCTGCCCTCACAGAAAAGAGGCGATCGAGGGTCCTACGGACTGCCCAGGTGCAAGCAGGGAGGACAGAAGCCCTGCGGAGCCCCAGGCCACCTGCTCCCAGCAGGCAGAGGCTGACCCTGCCCTTCCTCACCTGCTGAGCTTCCTCCAGCCCCCAGCACACAAATAAGACAAAGAGTGAGTCACCAGGAAGGACAGGGCCATCGAAAAGGAAAGTGGGGTGCTCAGCCCACTCCCAACCCTGCCCTTTTCCTTTCCTCTTTGGCTAAGGAGTGCAGTGAGTCACGAGATTCTGTGCGGTTGTCTCGGTGCCAAGCCCGGCTATGACGAGGGATCCTGAGTGGTGCTCTCAGTTCTCTGTGCTCCTCTTTGGCTTGGAGTGTCGGACTTCAGGGTACAGCCAGCACCAGACCCTCCCAGGCAGACACAGCAAACCAGGAGCGGTCTCATGCTGACACATTATAAGTCACGGAGCCCTCGGGAACAGGCTGACATACTGCCGGCCAACAGAGTCCCCAATGCAGAGCAGTGTTCAAATGGACTCCCAGGCCCCACAGGCAGGCAGGTGGACAGACAGACAGACAGACAGACAGGGGACAGAGAGACAGGCAGAAGCAGCCAGGCAGAAGCAGAAACACCCCTACAGTTACTTGGATACACCCAGGCAAACAGCAACCTCCACAACCCAGACTGTGAGGAGGCAACTGGGAGTGGCTCCAGGGAAAGGATCGGTCAGACACCCCCCCTGAAACACCCCCCCAACCCCAGAACCACACAAACACTGATCCACAGAGTGGGCACTTAGGGACTAGGTCCCCGGAAGCAGCTTCCAGCTCCTCCCTGAGTTTCCAGATCAACCCACTGAGACCTGAGAACATCCTTTCAGGCTGGGAAGGAGGCGGGTGGGGAATAAGAAGGGAGTGACAGGCGTGAAGCTGCAGTGGATAAGGATGACTGGGGATGATGGACGTGACTGGGGGCGTCTGGCTATGTGGCCTCAAGTCTGTTCTTCGGAGCTCAGAGAATGCATTGTCCTCTCCAGACCCCAGTGCACATGGGGCCAGCTCTGGGATGTGAGTGTGCCAATGCTGGGGCTCCAGGACACTCTCCCCTCTGTCGGGGTCCGACCCCCTTGGGAACTCACCCTCCATTGCCCCCTGGCAGGGGGTAGCCTACTCACAGACACCCCTTGTTCTGCTCCACTCTGGGCCTGGCCTGCAGGGGTACCCCTAGGGTGGGGGAGGGGTGCAGGGAGGTCAGGGAGAGGGCAAAGGGAATCCCTCGGATGTTTGTGCCCCCCCCCACCCCACCCCGGGGTGGGTGTGCCCAGGTGCTCTCCTTCATCTCCCTCCTTCTGGGCCTGGTCTGGCTGGGACCCAGGATGTCGGCAGCCTTGCGTAATGTGAGGTAAAAGGTGACAGCAGGCCTCAGGGGACAAAAGCCCCATTGTCTGGAGACCCAGGACAGCCGGGTTACACTGGGGGCAGGAAGGGGAGCTCTCGGGGTGCCAGCTGGCTGGGCTCTAGCGTTAAAATCCTGAAGGGGGCAGGTGCCAAGCAGGATGGCCTCGGGGTTGGCGATGCGTGGGGCGGAGTGAGGAAGTGCCCAGGGGGCTGGGGAGGGGGCAGACCCCAAGGTGGGGGACACCCCCACCCCTTGAGGATGCGCGCCAGGGCGTCCGCAGGGCCCTAAACCACCCTCTCGGGATTCCGATCATTCCTGGGAACCCAGGAGGCTTGGGGGCGGCGCCAGCCTGGGGGGCACCGGGGAGAGGGGGGCACGGCGGCTTTATCACCAGCGAGGGGCTTGAGGGAGGCTTAGGGAATCCTGCCGCCCCCCTCCCACCTCCAGGGATGTTCCCACCTGAGGTCCCAAACTCGTAGCTCCGCGGTCGTCTATCTCCCCGTCGGGGGACCCTCTGCGCGCGGGGAAGCCCACCGGGCTCTCCTCACTGAGCCGGCCCGGGGCGTCCCTCGCGCTCCGCACGCCCGCAAGGTCCGGGCCCCGCCCGCAGGTGCGCCCCGCAGGCCGCCTGGGAGCGGGGCGCGGCGGGGCGGGAGCGGGCGGCGGGCGGGGCGCTACCGAAGGCGGCGGCCGGCCCGGCCCGCCCCGCTCGGCACCCGGAGAGCAGCGGGCGCCGAGCAGGGAGGCGCGGCAGAGCGGGCCCGGCCCACCGCCCTGGCAGGTAGGACGCGGAGGGCTGGGGGAGACTGGAAGGTAGGGGGCGGGCAGGGGGTGGGCAAGAGGGGGGAGGGGGCCGGGCTCTGAGCGGAGCTTGGACGGGACGCCGGAGGGGGCGCGTTCGAGCAAAGTCAAGGTCCCGCAGGGGCAGTAGGGGAGTCCCTGGGCCACCGTGGGGCCACAGTGGGGGTGGGGGACACTGAGCACCAAGACCCACCTCTGGGCAGGTCTGGGAGGGGCTTCGCTCCTTGCCCGCCCCCGCCCCTATTAGCCCGGGCCCCTCCCAGTCGGGGTCTCTAACCCGCGGCACCCCTTGGCTTCACAGCCCCAGGAAGCCTGGTGACCAGCCCCGGGGTCGCCGGGGTCTCTGCCCACCGCTTAGTTCCCTGACCTCTGTCCTCCCCGGCCCAGAACGCAGCATGTGGCGCTACCCGCTGGGGCCGCTGCTGCTGCTGCTTCTGCTGCTGCTGCTGCCCCCGCCCGGGGAGCTGGGCCGGACCTCGGGGCGGCGGCGGGGCCGGTGGCGCCGGGAGCTCGCGCCCGCCCTACACGCGCGGGGCATCCGCGACGCCGGCGGCCGGTACTGCGAGGAGCAGGACCTATGCTGCCGGGGACGCGCCGACAACTGCTCCATGCCCTACCTGGGCGTCACCTGCTACTGTGACCTCTTCTGCAACCGTACCATCTCCGACTGCTGCCCCGACTTCTGGGACTTCTGTCTCGGGGTGCCGCCCCCGCTGCCTCCCTACAAAGGTGGGCATCGATCGTCCTCCAGGAGGGTGAGGTCCTGGTTGCACCTTAGGACTGAGCCTGGCTCAGGAGCAAGGCTAATGCCGGGCGGTTCCCCCAGGGGCTCTGTGGGATGGAGGGAAGAGGTCCCAGACACTATCTGCACCTCTTGGCCCTGTAGCTCTGAGCTAATGGGATGCTCCAGCATCTGGTCTGGTCCTGGTCCTGTCCCTGCAGCTGCAGCTGGCACTGGAGGGAGCAGGGCGTCTCCTGCACTCTAGCTCAGTCCCATTCAGCACGTGTGAGGGAAGGTGTGGGCCCTGGCATGATAAAGCACACAGGGGCTGGGCCAGTCCTGTCTGCTGGGGTTCCCTGCCCGTGAGCTGATGGCTCTAGCCCAAGGATCCCGACCAGGGTCTCCTTTCCTCTGCACCTGCTCTGTACAGCAGGAGAATCCCTTGAATTAGTCCCCTCAGTTCTGTGGGGCTGAGAGACTGCATACCAGGCGGTCACCCAAAAGTCTGGTGCTGTCTAAGGATAGTCACTGGACCGCCCTCACCCCCACCCCCTGTCTCCAAGCCCCAATTCACTGCAATGGCAGAAGAGTAGAGTATGCGGAAACGGGGCTTCCAGTGAAGCAAGAGGGATCAGAGCCAGGTGTGATAAACTTCCCGGGGTGTAGTTGCTGTGTGAACCCACGGGAGATGGTCTCTCTCTTTTTTTTTTTTAATTTTTATTAGTGAAACACCATGAGGTTCAGTTGTAGACTTACAAACTTTTGTGCTTGGGTTTTGAACATACAATGATCAAATACCCATCCTCCACCAGTGCCCATTTTCGATGGTCTCTCTTTTAACTTGGCATTAGTTTCAGTGAGGGCTGAAACCCATGTACGTGACCATGTGTGCCCTTGTAGGGGCACACGGAGGGAGGACTTAAGGTAGCTGACCCTTGGGGACCTGGGCATCATCTTTAGTCCTGGGCTCACTTCTCTTCTCTCTTCCCTCCCATCAGGATGTTTGCATGGGAGTCGCTTCTACCCGACCTTGGGGACATACTGGGACAATTGTAACCGTTGGTGAGTACTTAGGGTTGGAGGGGACTGGCATAGTGTCTTGTGGGCGACAAATGTTGTTCAATTCCTACTTCTTTCATGTACTTGCTGGAAACAAGTCCCTTTTTCACCTCAAGCCTCAGTTTCCTCATCTGTACCATGGGGATGTTTACCCTAACCAGGCCTCCATGGGCGTCGACATTCCCATAGTCTTCCTCAGCATGGGCATCTGATGTGCTGGGGGCTTGGGGGTCCTTTCCCACCTCTGCCTGGGCAAGCTCCCACCTCTCCTGACTTTTCTTGATGTTACGGGAGGGTCTGAGAAGGGGGACGCCAGGAAGGAAACCTCTGTCTGTAGCATCCGCTGCCCCTGAACCGGATGAGTGTCAGGGCTGGTTGAGCTGGAGTCCAGCCAGGCTGTAGCAGGGCCTTCCCTGGAATGTGGCCCTTCCCCCCACTGTCAGCTCACCCCATCATTCCTGCCAGGAAGAGGAGGAGTTGCAGGGGTCCCCTCTACTCTAATTTCAGCTCTGAGATGGGAAATAGGGATGGGGAGGAAGCTGAAATGCCTTTGGGGAAATAACAGGGACCCTGGGACTCCAGTGAAGGAGGAGGCCGCTGCTTTCCTGGCCCATGCCCTCTTCGCCTGGGCCCGAGAGGCCCTGGGGAGGAGAGGAGCTTGTGGAATGCATTACGCGCGGGCTGTTTCCATTGCCTCACTGGAGTGAGGGGCGCCTGGGTCACGGCGAGAGTGTGGACTTGTGCATTCACACGTGCGTCCGGGTGAGAGAATGACAGTGCGTGCGTGTGCACACAGGCGGTGTTTGTGTGTTGAGAAAGAAGCCAGTCAGCTTGGTTCAGGTGCAAAGTGGAACCCTCTGGACATGGAGGGGTTAACACTTCCTCCCACTCGGCCCTGGGAGCTGACCCTGTGGACCCCACTCTGGAATGCTGCTGCCATCAGCCCTGTCTAGACCTGCCTGGGCAGCCCTGGGAAGGATGAGCCAGGTGGCAGGAAAGGGCTGACCTTGCTGCCCCCTTCCTCAGGCCTGCTGTCCCCCTCCCCATGTATTTCCCACCCAGTGGGTTGGCCAGCATCTGTGGCCTTCCGGGCTGCGGCCCCGGGGCCGAGACATCTCCTGAGTGTCTCCCTGTGCAGAGCTCCCCGGGTTGGAGGGCCCAGCCGTAGCCGTCTTCTCCCCTCCAGGCTCCTTAAAAGGCAACACTGGAGCCTGCCAGGACCTGGAAGGAGGCAGTTCCACATCTCAGACGTGTCTGTGGAAGCAGCCCAACAGTCGAGTTCAGTGGCTCGGACAGCACCCACTGTGTGCCAGGCACAGGGCTGGCTAAGCAGGCACAGCTAGAAAGTGACACGAAATCCTTACCTTTGCACTGGAGCGGCCTGTGGAAGGGTGATGAGAAACACACATGGCCATCAGGGAGGCTGGCTTGTGGGGGAGGAGAGGATGGGGATGCTAGTTTAAGAAGAGGCATTTATGCCAACTTGGAAATGGAGAGAGAAGGAGGGGCCCAGGCCTCATAGAGCAGCTACGGGGAGCTAGGAAGGTGGGATGGAACCAGGCTCATTTGCAGCCCGAGCTGTGATGTGGGAGAGGGGTCCCCAGGGGCACAGCCCATGCATCCCTGCATCTCCGCCGCTTAGAGAACCCAGGACCACTGGCCAAGACCTCAGCTTCTGAGTGGGGTGTGTGAGGGTCAGGAGGGGCTGGGGTATATAATGGGGGATGGGTTAGGTGCCTCTGCAGGGGCCAGGCAGGGGGTGAGAAGCGGGGTGATAGCGTGGGGGAACCGGCAGGTGGGTTTAGTCTTTCAGTTGTGCCCTCCAATAACCTGCTGATGGGGACAGGAGGGATGGAGTTCTGCTTTTAACCACCTGGGTGGTTCTGGGACTACTTCTGAAAGGGGAGTGTGTGTGGGTGGGGGGCATTGTGGGAGAGTCAGAAGTACCTTATATACACCTGGAGGGAAGGAGCCTGAAGCCAGAGTCAGTGGGGGTGCTCCTGGGACAAGACAGGCAGGATGGATGCAGTGGACCATAAGCAGTTCCAAGTCCTTGCAGTGGGCCAGGCCTGTGCTCTGTGCCCACCTGCTAGTTTATCCTGGTGCATTTTACAGACAAAATACAGGGAGTGCATATGTTCACCTGAGCCCACCTGGCTGGTCAGTGAGAGCTGGAGCCAAGGACTGTACATTTGCAGCTCACCAAGGACTTCACATGACTGCTCATTCATTCATTCATTCATTCGTGCATTTGCCTGATACTAACTGGGAACCTCTAGAGGTTTTGGAAGGTCTGATGCTTTCCAGAATCCTGTCAGCTTTGAGAGAACCTAAGAGTCCACACTCTTCATAGGTAAATATCTGGTTGCTTAGTGATGAGTTGTTAGGGAGGCAAATGACATGAGTGCTGGACAGGAAGTGGAGGAGGGAGGGACACTGAACTTTAAGGTAGGACAGGTGACCTTTGAGTAAAGACTTGGAAGAAGTGAGAGTGAATCTCGGCAGGGCCTGACTGGTTGGGGGGGGGGGAAGAGAGAGAGAGAGCACCAGAAGTGGTCAGTGAGGGGATGGAAGGACAGTCCTGCAGACTTCATGGGCACAGCCAGGAGTGTGTTTCTCACTTTGATGTGAAGCCCACGGGGGGGGGGGGGGGGTTGGGGCAGGGGAAAGGCACGGTGTAGTGGGTTTTATTGGAGGAATTGTCCTGGTAGGTGTGTTAAAGATATACTTTGGGGATGTAGCGTGCAAAAGTGGGAACAGGGGGAGTTGCAGTAATCTGGATAAGGGTGAGGGACTGCGGAGGGCAAGGGAGAGAATGTGGTTCGGACTCTGGATGTGTGTTTAAGGTAGTGCCTACGGGATAAGCCAGTGCACTGGACTGGCACCCAAGGGAGAGCCTAGAGCACCCCCAGGCTCAGGGCTGAGCTCAGGAAGAATTTGTGCCTAGTTTCTAAGGGGGGAAGAGCAGGCAGGGAGGAGGGGAGATGAGGAATTCAGCTGGGGAGGTTGAAGTGTTGTTCCTCCCTCTGGTACGGATAACAAGTTGCAATGAGCTCCTTGAACTGGAGTTCAGGGAGAGGCAGCCGCAGACAGAAACTGGAGCTTTGTGAACCCGGACTTGACATGGACAGGCCTGGGAGAGGGTCCTCAGGGGTCCCTAGAGCAGAATCTCAGGCCTCACCTTCTATTTTTTCTTTTAATTTTCGTGGGTTTTGGCATATGGGGGGGACACACCTGGTGATGTTTGGGGGCTCCTCCTGGCTCTGGCTGGGGGGTCTCTCCCGGTGATGCTAAGAATCACGCTGGGGTGGGCCGCATGCAAGGCCAGCGCCTCCACCTGACACTGCGAGAGAGGCAGAGAGAGCGCCAGCCCCGGTGCTCAGGTCCCACTCACTCACTCCTTCCTCCCCTGCTTCCAGCACCTGCCTGGAGAAAGGACAGTGGGAGTGTGACCAGGAGCCATGCCTGGTGGACCCAGACATGATCAACGCCATCAACAAGGGCAACTACGGGTGAGAGGCCCTGGGCGTGCCCGCAGTGAGCTGTGTGTGTGCTCACTCCCACGGACACTCCTCCCACAAACTCAGCCCAGTCACGCCCCTCCACCCACATGCAGCACCTCCAGGACCCCCAGTCTGGGGGGGTCTGTGACTTCCATTCCCACCCCCCGTTTCAGGTGGCGGGCCGGGAACCACAGTGCCTTCTGGGGCATGACCCTGGATGAGGGCATTCGCTACCGCCTGGGCACCTTCCGCCCACCTTCGTCCGTTTCCAACATGAATGAAATTCACGTAAGTCCATCTCCACGTGGCCCAGCATCCAGCGCCGGTACCCTGCTCCTCCTGGGCTAGTCACCACCCCCGCCCCCGCCCACACACACACCCGGCCCTTAGTCTGTTAAGGAGATGCGTGGTGGTGCTCAGAGTCCTGGGCCGGCACCCCCGCCCCTCCCTGCTTCCCAGCCTGGGAAATATGCTGCTGATCCCAGCACAGTTACGTCAGGGGCCAAAGGCCAAGGAGGCCCCCTTGGTATTTTGGGAAGGGAGGGTCAGACTCTCCTCCAGTTTTGGCCAGAGAGCTGCAGTTCTCAGAAACAAATGCCGACTCAGTGGAACTCAGTGGTGCCCCATGGAAAAGGAGGAAGAGGGGACTTCTCCTTGCCCCCCAGTGGGACCCTCTAGGGGGAAAATTAGGAATTAGACCCCAAACAAAGCATAGGAACCTTTGACCCTCTGGCAGGAGCAGGGTGTGGAGAGGGGCTGGGGGCCTCCGCCCATCAGTGGTAGGCGCTGAGGTCCCAGCAGGCCCTCCCTGCGGGGAACTTGGGTTCAAGGCTGGGGTGACCAGACCCTGCCCAGGCCTCTGGCTATTTTCCGCCTCCTGCTGTTTGCTTTGGAAGCCAGCCAGGTCACGGTCCTCCCTGCTCCCTCCCTGCAGTCCTTGGGGGCCTGGAGCCCAGGGTCCTGCAGGGAAGAAGGATGTGACAAATGAGGCAGAGGCAGGAAGAAGCAGCGAGGAGGATGGAAGGCTGTGTGCTGGCCTTGTCCCCGTTCCCTTGGTTTCTGCTGCCTCCTCCATGAAACGGGGCTCCTTGTCCCCATCACCACTCCCCTAGGAGAGAGGCTCTGGAAGGTGCCAGGGTCTTGCTGCAGGAAGTCTCAGAGCTGCAGCTGCTGGAGCTTCTGCACTCTCGGCTGGTCCGAGGGGGCCAGGGCGGTGGCAGGGAGCAGACTGCCTCGTGTTTGCCTTGCAGAAGGTGCTGGGCCCGGGGGAGGCACTGCCCCGGAAATTCGAGGCCTCTGAGAAGTGGCCCAACCTGATCCACGAGCCTCTGGACCAGGGCAACTGTGCTGGCTCCTGGGCCTTCTCCACGGCAGGTGCGTCCTAGGGGTGGCCCCCGCGGGCCAGGTGGGCCAGGCACGGAACCCCCTGACAGCCTCTCTGCCCCGCTCCCCTGCAGCTGTGGCATCCGATCGGGTCTCAATCCACTCTCTGGGCCACATGACACCGGTGCTGTCGCCTCAGAACCTGCTGTCCTGCGACACCCACAACCAGCAGGGCTGCCGCGGGGGCCATCTCGACGGGGCCTGGTGGTTCCTGCGACGTCGGGGGTGAGCAGCAGCCGGGGTGTGGGGGTGGGGGGGTAGAGGGGGCTGGGGCCCACCTGGGCCGGGCTCTCACAGAGCTCCCTCTGCCGGCCTACAGGGTGGTGTCGGACCATTGCTACCCGTTCTCAGGCCAGGAGTCCCAGGAGGCTGGACCTGCACCCCCTTGCATGATGCACAGCCGGGCCATGGGCCGGGGCAAGCGCCAGGCCACTGCCCGCTGTCCCAATAGCCACGTCCACGCCAATGACATCTACCAGGTCACTCCTGCCTACCGACTCGGCTCCAGTGTAAGTGGGGGTGTGTGTACGTGGTGATAGGGTTGGGTATGGGAGGGTTGGGGCAGCTGGGAGGCAGCTCAGGGCTGAGCCTCCCCACTGATGGGTCCTCCGCCTCCCCCAGGAGACAGAAATCATGAAGGAGCTGATCGAGAATGGGCCTGTCCAAGGTAAGCGCCGTCCCTGCATCCTCCTAGTTCCAGAAGCTTAGACCTGCTGGAGAGTGGCGAGAGTGACTCGAGTGGGCCCAGCCCTGGGCCTCAGGCTCCCTGGGACCAGGAGCAGAGGGACCGTGTCCCTTTCCTGCATGGGGCATCTGGAAGGGGCGTTTAGAGTCTTGGCACGGAGAGGCCCAGCTTGTGCTTGGGCTGACGCCTGCTCCCCCACACCTGCAGCACTCATGGAGGTGCACGAGGATTTCTTCCTGTACCAGGGGGGCATCTACAGCCACACGCCAGTGAGCCAGAGGAAGCCCGAGCAGTACCGGCGGCACGGGACACACTCGGTCAAGATCACAGGGTGAGGGTCGGGGTGACAGTCCCCTGGTGCCCCCAAAGTGAGGAGGAGGTTGAGTGGGAGAGGGGCTGGCAGATGAGTGAGGTCCTGGGAACAGCCATGCAGGAGGACAGGGACCCCAGGAGAAGAAAGGCCCAGATGAGCCTTCTCCACTCATCCCTCCACAGTCCCGTTGGGGTCTCCCCAGCACGGGGTGCGGGAATAGGCAGGGGCCAGTGAGATCAAGGTCAGCACAGGTCTTAAGGGTGTCCCCAGTCACCAGAGAAGACAGAGGCCTGGCTAGGGGAGTCCCCGGCTCATTGGCCCGAGGCCAGGTGGGTGAGTGTTCCCCTCGGCTGTGCCCGCAGGTGGGGTGAGGAGACACTGCCTGACGGAAGGACGCTAAAATACTGGGTGAGTGGCCGGTACTCCCGTCTCCTCCTCCTCTCTCCCCATTCCCGTTCCCCTCCTCACCAACTTCTGCTTCCCCAGACTGCCGCCAACTCCTGGGGTCCAACCTGGGGTGAGAAGGGCCACTTCCGCATCGTGCGTGGCGCCAACGAGTGTGACATCGAGAGCTTCGTGCTGGGCGTCTGGGGCCGCGTGGGCATGGAGGACATGGGGCACCACTGAGGCCATGAGCCACACCAGTGCTCACCTAACAGGGTGGCTGGTGAGGGGTCCCTAGGGGTGCCAGCATGGCCTGATGTTGCTGGAGCACCGATGGGTGATGGGGTGGAGCCCCCAGCTCAGGGGCTGCGGACACAGCGCCCAGCCTGGGGGTCCCGGGCAGGCGAGGCTGGCAGAGCCTCCGGACCTCCCAGCACGGCGGGGCAAGGCTTGGCCTGGAAGGATCACACTCACTGACCCCAGGCCTCCTGGGTCCCCGCAAGACCAGCAAGGCCACTATACCCCTGCCTTCAGCCCCTCTCCCACCCCACCCCTGTACTCTTCCTCAAAGATATTTATTTTTCTTTTCACTGTTTTAAAATAAAACCAAAATCTGGCTAACTGCAGTACTTGGGAGTTCTGGAAATGGGGAGCCATACTAGAATTGGGGTGGCCTGTGGTTAGACCCCAGAGGGCTGGCTTGGACTTTGGAGCAGACTGCTTCATGGGGTTAGAACTCTTAGCACGCTCCATCCCTGGCCAGGGACCTACTTGGCAGTGGGAATGGATGGGCTTTGACCCCCAGAGAGCCATGGGCAGTGGATCCACCTTCAGACATCAAGTTAGCACACCCTGGGTTGGGGGAGCGGCACCCCCCTCCATCAGCAGAATTGGGACCAGTGCCCAGCAGGCCAGGGACCAGGGATGAGGCCCCATAGACGCAGAGCTTCCATCTCTGTAGATAAGCTTCTCTTAGCACCTGTGAGTGTCCCTCCCCCCACAGGCATCCAGAGCCCCTAAATAAACCATCCCCCTGACTTTCAGACCATCAGGATCTCCCCTCTCTCATACCCCCCAGCAGCTACCCCCATTGCCCAGGCGATGCCAGAGTACTAAAATGCCCAGCCCCTGTGCAGACCACTGCTGCCCGTCCCCTGCTCCACTGCTATTCTAACGTGCTGGAGGATCACTGAGGATCTGGGGACCCCCCAGGCCTCAACACACACCACACACATAAGCCACCTGTCCTATGTCCTCCTGATTCTGCTGCACTGGAGTTCCCTGAGGCATGGCCTGCTCTGCCCTGTCCTCTCCTGGACCATGCCCTGTGGGGTGGCAGCTGGAGGCAGCTATTCTTTCACTGCCACTTCCCTGAAAGCACACATGCACGCAAACGCACATGTGAACACACGAGCACACATGCATACACAAACACACTAGTGCATGTGCAAACATGCACTCTTGTGAACACACAGGCACATGCACACTGATATACACATAACACAGCATACATGCACACACATGCACATTGCACACACAGACATGGATACACATGCATGGAGACATATGTGCACACATGCACACACAGACACACAGACACACATGTACACATGGACATACAAACACACGGACACACAACACCAGAGTGCACATGCACACACACAAAATGCACACAGGCACACAAGTAAGCAGACGAGTGCAAATGTACACAAGCACATACACACACATATGCACACACACAAAGATGAGCACACATGCACCCACATATGCACACACAGACACTCGAGTGCACATGCACGTGTGTACACACACACACACACACACACACACACACACCACCCTGAAGGCACAGGTGTCCATCTTTGTGTGTGTGGGAACAGGAGGCTTCTTGGGCGGTAGGAGCCTCAGCTGTGGCCCCCTCACCCTTCAGCGGACAGGGAAGGCAGGTGCCGAGTCCAAGAGGGAAGGTCTTTGGGCCACAGCCCCTTCTGGGCATCCTGGCGGGCATCACCTGAAAGGAATGCGGGTGCCCAGAAGCTGCCTTTTGTGTCCTTTCCTGTTTGCCAGCACGTCCTGAGCCTGCTGCCCTGGCTCGCCAGCTGTCCCCGGGAGCCAAGGCCAACAGGGCCCTGCACAGGCTGACCATGGGAGCCCCCACTCCTGCGAGGGAACCCTCAGACATCAGCAAGGACTCCCCACCCTTTTGCTTACCGGACGCGCCCCGCCCCCCCCCCCCCCCTGCTTCCACCCCACTGGAAAAAACCCACATAGGCCTGGAATTTTTGCCCCGACCTTGGGCGGAAGGAACGGGGTGGGGCAGAGAGGGGACAGGCTGGCCAGCCCTGCGGGGAAGCCAGACCCTTTATGCCCTTCAAGGGGGCCCCAGCCCTTCCGCCCTCTGCCCTGCCCCGCCTCCTCCAGGAAACCCCAAAGCTCGCTCTGCAGGGACAAGCCAAGTGCAGGTGGGGCCCGGGCTTGGGGGTGCCTTGGTGGATCCCTCCCTCCCCTCCCTCCTCCTCTGCCACTGGGCTCCTGATGTGTGTCAGACATTGTTAGAAAGTGAGACAAGACTCAAGGGCACAGCTGGACCCGGCGTTAGCCTTGCAGGATATGGAGCGGGACTAGATTCCTGCCCCCGTTCCCTGAGCACTGCCAGGAGTGATCTCTGCGCGCACGGCCAGGTGTGGCCCCTCAAAAACCAACAAAATAAAATCAAGGGGTCCCAACCAGGTGCCCCCTGAGCTGCTCCCCGGGGCACCTGTCCTCGGGCTGTGTGTGCTGACCCTGATTTCTCCCCCTCTGAGCAGAGGGCATGGATGGGTCCCTCAACCAAGGTAGATTTGAAGCCCCGCTCTCTGCCTGTGACCCATCCTGGGATGGTGCTTCGGGAACGGGGGTCTCCCTTGGTGGTGCTCAGGAGCCATGAGGAGCCTGGATCACACTCAGGCCTCCTGCATGCGAAGCACGTTCCCCAGCCCTTTGAGACAGGGCCCAGAGCCTCTGTTCTGTCTGCAGCAGGGTAACCGCTCTCACCTAATTCCTGGGTTGTTAGGAGAAGTAAATGAGACAAAGCCCGCTAAGCATTTTAGACAATACTTGGCGCTTATGAAGAACTCGGTTAATGGTAATAGCTGTAAACATTTTTTAAAAGATTTGGCTTGGGGCTGGAGCAATAGCACAGTGGGTAGGGCGTTTGCCTTGCACACGGCCAACCCGGGTTCGATTCCCAGCATCCCATATGGTCCCCTGAGCACCGCCAGGAGTAATTCCTGAGTGCAGAGCCAGGAGTAACCCCTGTGCATCGCCAGGTGTGACCCAAAAAGTAAAAAAAAAAAAAAGATTTGGCTTGATAATATAAAGACTTTTTTGGTTTTGTTTTGTTTTTGTTTTGGGGCCACACCTGGCGATGCCCAGGGGTTACTCCTGGCTCTGCACTCAGGAATTTCTGGTGGTGCTCCGGGGACCAGATGGGATGCCAGGGATCAAACCCAGGTCAACAGCATGCAAGGCAAATGCCTTACCCAATGTACTATTGTTCCAGTCCCAATAATATAAACTTTTCATAATGAATTACACATTTCTTAAATGTTTAACCTCAACTCCGTGTGTGTGTGTGTGTGTGTGTGTGTGTGTGTGTGTGTGTGTGTGTGTGTTTGGGTCACACCCAACAGAGCTCAGGGTTTATTCCTGGCTCTGTGCTCAGAGATCACTCCTGGTGGGGTTTAGGGGACCATATGAAATACCAGGGATAGAACCTGGATCGGCCATGTGCAAAGCAAGCTATACCCACTATACAATAACTCCAACCTCTTCACTTCAACTTCTGTCCACACATCTGAGCGCTTTGCATGTATTATTTAATATGGAAATAAAACTAGCCCTTAATTAGCAAATAAAGAAGAGAAGCAGAGAAGAATCTGAATGTTGGTTTAGGTGGGATTCCAAAAGAGGGTTTCATCCCTGGCCCATATGGTCCCCTGAGCCCACCAGGAGTGATCCCTGAGTGCAGAGCCAGGAATAAGCCTTGAGCACTGCTGGGTGTGGCCCCCAAACCAACAGAGGCTGTCTGAATCCTCATACTGATCAAGCCCATGCTAGTAGTACTGGTTGATTAGTAGTGATAAGTCCCTTTCCATGCCCTTTTCCTTTAGATGAAGAACTCTTACTCATCCTTCAAAACTCAGCTTAGATGTCTCTCCTCTGACATTTCTCACACCCATCTTCTGGATCTCCAGGGACCCCAGGATCAGTCCCCTGGCTCAGAAGGAGTTTTCCTTGACAGTGTTTCCTTCCACCAAAGAATGGATTCAGAATTTTTTCTTAGCTCCATCCTTCCGTATCCACCAACTGTCTCACATGAGCATTCATTCCGGTGAATGAATCAGGCTCCAGTGAGGCTCTGGAAAGGTCTCCAGGCTCCTGACTTGTCTCCCCTGAGTTCCTGAGTTATACCATTCTGCCAGCATGATGCCTCACATCTTCCTGGTTTCTGGCCAAATCCCCATCCTTGCCCAGTTGCCCATGAAGGGAAAGGAATCCAGGTCCACTGAGCCTGCACTGGGCCAGGCCTGAGGCCAAGAACCTCACACGCTTTAGCTCATTTGATCCTATGCATATGCCTGTGAGAAAGTATGTCGGAAAACACAAGGCCAGCCAGAGCGGAGACTCTAAGACTCTGGTGAACTTCCAGATACTGAACAGAGTGTGGCCCAGGTACAGCTGGACCGGAACCCAAATACTACAAGCACTTTTCTCCTCCCTCCTCCTTCCTACTCCTCCTCCTCCTCCTCCTCCTCCTCCTCCCCCTTCTCCACTCTTCCTCCTCCTCCTCCTCCTCCTCCTCCTCCTCCTCCTCTTTCTCCTCCTCCTCCTCATCCTCATCTCTCTACCCTGGATTTCTCTCCAAACTAACTAGCCTTGAGAAAGGACATCTGATCAGTGACTGACCACTGCTGAGCCTCTCAGCCAGCAGCCATGCTCTCGGTTCTGATTCAAACCAAAGAGAACAGGGGGGCTTCTGACTGGCCAGTTGTGCCTGGGTGTCCGGATGTGGGCCTAGGGCTGGGGTCATGGCCTGTGGCATCCAGTGCAGAGCAAGGATCTGGAGGAGGAGGAGAAGGAGAGGGCTGCTGTTCCAGAGAGGACACAGGAAGGCTGGACACATGACAGAGTCCCCAACAGCTAAGGACTCCCTGTTCCAACCATTTGACAGCGAGGGAGATGGAGGCTTGGGGGGAAGTGTGACTTTTTAAGTGCCACAACCAGAAAATGAAGCCTGATATGGAAAATGCCCCAATCGCCTCTCGTGGAGTATGTGGCCCAGTGAGACAGACGTCCTGTGCAGGGCAGAGAAGGCAGGATTCTCCCCCAGCATCTCCCTGGTGACTCACTCCTGAGCCCTGGAGATATTTCTTCCACAATTCCACCTGCTTCCTCACTGACACCTGAGGCCATCATAGTCACTGACCCCTGAGGCCGTCTCTTCCAGCAGGCTTGTCTCAGCAGCCTCCAGGGACAGAGGGAGGTGCCCACGAGAGATGAGGTGGATGATGTGCAATGGGCCAGCTCAGAGGTCAGAGGCATGGGCGCCATGTGGGTGAAAAGGACAGCTATCAGCCCCA